GGTGTGACGGGGATTCGAACCCGCGACCCTCAGATTGTGAGCCGAGCGCCCTAACCACCTGGCCATGCCGGGTTCTCCTCTTGACCCCCCCCCCAAAAAAACAACATACACCAAAACTGGAAACAAAGTTGACGTTTATTACATTTAACCGAATAATCACCAATAGAACTTTCAACTTTCAATGCCTAGCCCCGGCTTCTCAAAACCCCTACCTTCCACAGAAATCCATTTCTCAAGCCATGCCTGTTATTAACCCCTGTCGTTCTCCGATATTATGACCTTTCTTTAATACGGATTGTAATTCTTTATCTTTGACAACTTCTAAATTCCTGTACATATAAGATTGTGAAAGATATCTTTAAAAACACTATTACTACAGTTACAAGGTAAATTGTCAAATTTTACTTGATTAAATTCTTAAATGAATTTTTTGTAGTTTTTGTTGCTGGGAACACGTTTTTTTTTATAACTAAACCAATTACTGACTGTAACTTTCAGGACGGCGTTAGTTGCCACAAAGATTAGGGCTTAAATGCCTGACTCCAACATTACTGGGTAGCCAAATACCCGTGCATCCTTAGTCTTTACAATAGTCCAGCTGCATAGTTTCCATTGCAAATGTCTCCATCGTAAGGCTGTTATGTTTAAAGCAAACCGTTTCTCCCTGCTGTTTTTCATAACCCATCGAGTGCATAAGGATGGTGGTTCCCACCACTCAATGGTCCGATCACACAGAAATCCATATGGCACTGCATCAAGTGACTTGACTGGTATGTCTTGGTAAGGAATATCATGAATACCACTTTCATTCTTTATCTGCTTAAGGTATGCAATGGCTGTACAGATATGCCATAGAAGCAACTTGTGTACATAGGACTTACTTTTCCAGATAGAGATCCTTCTTTATTCATGTTGTGTACTGTGCCTGGGACACACACTGATTGTTTGCGTCAAGGATTTTATGTTCATGGATTCTTACCTCTTACAAGATGCTGCACTTAACACAGCTGGGGTACAACTTGCTGCATGTCTTTTTCTGGAATATCCTGGTGTCCAACGTTGATCCATACTTCTTTCTTTTGCAATGCTACGAAGTACAAGGAATATTCCACCTTTAAAATTCTCCAATCTGAAGACATCTTTATGAACTGAGAGCATATTTTGCATCGTAAAAGGCCATCAGATGAACTTCCCAAAAGTAATCAGTTTTCTGTTGCATCACACTATCTACAAAATGTAGTTCTTATACATTGTGTTCCACCATGACGATATTGATAATATTTGTCACGTGACTTGCTAATTTGCATATTCTAAATCGCTATAATATAATGTACACAACTGTGACATGCTTTTCCCAAGAACAAGGGTCTATAAGAGGAATTCTGCTCACTCTTCGAATATCTTCGCTTACATGTATTATGTGAACTTTATCTAAAAAATGCAAAAAGCTACAAAAATTACAAGAAAATCGCTTTTAGTCTTGTCTGTAACTCAAGTCATATTTCACATTCAACCTTGTTTTTGTATGACTAGTTAGAAGTGCCATATGAGATTGGTTGCTGAATACTATATAGCTTTAGGAAATTATCTATGGAAATTAGTCTTGTGAGTTGGTGTTACTTGTGTCTCGAGAACCACATTACGCTAGTACAAGGGTAACTGCATGACACAGGTATTACAAGGTTAATACATGTAAGCCGTTCTGACTGTCATGCTGAGTCCAGATACAATACATCTTACTTGAAATTGGGCTGAACATTTATGAATAAGATGTTCCCTTTCACTACAGACTTGCACGTCATAGTTCATCCTCATATAGTGTTTTTGCGTGTGTGGTTCCTTCTATTTTAGCTGGTATAAACCCCAGTATTAGTGATCACATTTTTAAAGCAGCTGTGGAAAATATAAAGTCATCTGATTCGACCTTTTTTTGTGCCAGATCTTCAAACTGTACAATCGGTTAAGTTAGATTGTTTCACAAGTTCAAGCATATATTGTACAACAGCAGAATCAGCATGTTTGGTATGAAAACAAACCAATAACAGTTGCATAGAGCACCGATAGTTCTCCCAATACTTTATAAAAATAATTTGCAATCTAACAAAATACCACAACCAGTGCTTTCCAGTCTTATGTGACCATTTATTGTTTCTACCACCCAATATAATTCTACAACAATCTTTAAAATATTAGGTCCCTCTATAAGCTGTTGGTTACACCCATTTTTCAGAAAGAATGACACCTGAGTTTACAATCCAATTTATGAAGGAAAGCCAATGCATCCATAAATCTTCTATCTACAACAGGAGGAGTGGCAAAGCTTGTATCATTTCTATCAACTTCACTTTCATCTGGAGAGGGGTAATCAGACACACAACATGTGAAATATTAGAACTGATGATGAAATTGGGTACAAGTGACACCTTCTTCATCAGGAATTCTTTTATTCTCATTTTTCACGTATTTTCTACATTCATCATTAGATGGCTCTGATCAGTGCCTTTTTCTCTTTAGGTCCATGCTTCATATCATATCCCACATCTGCATTCCTTCACCATAACTAACAATGTCTTGCTCACATTACTCCAGTTAGTCTTATAAACCACTTGGGAAGCAATGTGGCAAATAATCATTGACTTCCTAGTTACAAAAGTGTTTCAATTTCACTGGATAATGTAAATTTTACTGGTTCTACTGAGTACATCACAGTTTCATTCGTTGATATGAAGGGTTTACATTAATGTAGATTTGTTCAATGGTTACATTCTGTATACTGTACATTTACATTGAAATAGAAAAGACTTAAATATTTCAAAGTATAAAAAACATAAATGGTTAATGACACTTTAGCATAAACAATAGTTTTTATGTCAAGATAGCTCACATCGTTTTTTAAACAATATCAACTCTTAGTATTTGTCACATCTCTTAATGATAAACAGCAAATTTAATCACGCTCTTTAAACATGATGCAAAATTGGAAAAATGACCTTCAACTAACCAAAACTGCCTAAGTGTGTGTATACATTTGTTTGTTGTTAAGTGCATAGCTACACAATGGGTTATGTGTTGTGTCCACAATGAGTATCAAAACCTGGTTTTTTAGTGGTGTGAGCCATAAGACTTACTGATAAGCAACCAATACACATAAAAAAATCTTTGCAACAATAGACAAGTTTATTTCTGCAAGTATGCCCTTTTGGTATTCCAATTACATGAAAAAAAACAACTTTTATTTACAAAACATTTGTTTTGGATATCACCTGTTGGCAAAATTTCTACCCTTTTAAATTTTTGTCCTTAAAAATTATCCCTGTAGCAGCGTTGTAGTTTCTTGACTACTCTTTGGCCTTATTATAAAGATAAACTAAAATCTGTTGAAATATATGAAAGTTACTTAGAACTGTTTGCATAACACACAATGTTCAGATAATGCCTTCTAAAATCCTAACATGACATATTTATAGTGTGTGTGTACATGTGTTTGTTACTTTAAAGTTTTAGAAATCCCACATTGTGATGGTGTGCTAAATATTTATGTATATTTTGTACAAGGTATTTTTTTCGTTCAGGTTATTCCACTTCCCACATCTCAACATTTTAATTCTTGGGAAAGGCCAAATATGGGCCTACACATCATCTTTTGTCCGACTGGAGTTGTTTAAAAGGGGCTACACTAGAGACTTTAACACAAGCTTTGGTATCTTTGGATCGATTGGATGTAGTTCATCTTATCCAGCACACGTACAAGAGAGTTTATCCACCTCTTCAGCCAGGTTGTATGGTGTGAAAACAATATCTAAAACAAGTATATTTTTTATAACTTCCAAATTTGAAGGTAAATGTCAACAGATCCAATCTCTGTTAACTGTTTGAGATAGGCTCAGTCTTGTAATGAAATACTCACTTTGTTTGTTTACACTTTTGGAATCTTGGAGATGAAACTGTAACACTATCAAGAATCTTGAAAGTAGTTACTTAAACAAATGTCATGTGTCAAAATAACTTAGAAATTGAGACAGTCAACTCTGCTCACAGTGAAAGTATTATATATATTTCCAAGACTTCATTTTGAAAAACTTGCGTTACTTGTGTGCTCAAGTATTTCATTACAACTAACATTGTACAGTATTAGTAGTTAATAAGTAATGATCAATATATTTTTGTTATTGCATGTTAGCTAGGCAATTCAGTATGATGACTGCATCTATGAACTAGTTTTATCCATTATAGTCATTAACCCCTCCTCAGTCTTTAATATTAATAACAAAAACTTCACTATAAGTTTGAAACTTTGTCAGTGTGTATTTAATTAGTTTTACCCATATTCTAAAAAATGAGTATGTAAGGCACTACACAACTATTTCTTTATCGTAGATTATTACTAGAATGTGCTGGGTATACAAGTGTAATTAAATTAATTATATTCTCATGCAATATTATATTCCAATGTAACTATTACAATAATGAATACATTGCAATATCATATGATAAATTCAGAAATTACTTTAACCAGACACCAAAATTTTAAACACAATTATTGTTAAAACAACTACGTGGTAGATATTTTTCAGCACAAAAAAAAAGAGAGACCTGTTTTATGTATGCACGCAACACTGGCAAACTTAGTGATTTGTTATGCCACCATAACATTTAAAATATGCAAAGTATGACACTATTGTAAATAATGTTATATATTGTAATATTTGGTGTTACTTTTGGAATAAAACTTGAAGTTTATGAACAATCACATTTGTTTTCAGTTGTGCATAACTTTTTAAAATAAATATTTACACACACACACAGTCACTCATGGTCATTGTTTGATGTAATAATTTACAGGTTTTTCTAAGAGCTTTGTCCTTATGTAACAAATATCTGGGTCAAAAGACAGAAAAATATTTTTTTTTATTTGTGTAAACTGTTTTACTATCAAAAAATAAAAAAAAACACAGACACAATATTCAAATGCCAAAATACTTTACTGAACAATTTCATCAACCTAAAAAGTTTAACAAGGCCAAAGACTGAATTTAGTAAAATACTTGTAACTACCTTAATCACCAAACCTATGGTAAGTTATGTATGGAGAAGTGGGGGCATGACCATATTGTAATCTGTGTGTTATCATTTCATTTTCAATTGGTGCATTTCTGTCATATGCCCCCTTCCTCCCCCTCTTTTTAATATGAATTCATATCACAACAAAAAGAAAAGAAAAAAAAATCTAATTTCAATGTAAGTACACATTTATTGACTGTTTAAGATACCATGAAAACCATTATTTTCACACAAGTTTATTCTGATGTCTGAGCTTACAATTTATAAGGACTAGTCACCAATCACTTGTGATTTTCTTATTCTGCCACACTGTATTCAGTAGGATCATGAAGCCGATATCCCAAATTACAATGTACATTTTTTATTTCAATCACAATCTGTGGACCAAAAAGAAACTTATTACAACAGTGGTCTGTGAAGCACCTTTCTCCTTTTCAATTTTTTGAGTTGATACCAATTAAACTAAAAGTTCTATCCCACAAAAGAAATGAAAAGCAGTAGCATATCATTATGGTACATATTTAGTATCTTTAAAAGCAAAACTGCCCATCATATATTTTTAATGAGATTTACATATTAAGATCCACAAAATACAGAATGAAGTAACCACTAAAAGTCCATAAACTTCAATTTTTGTGGTGTTTGTAAATTAAGCTGTGACTTTACAATTGCAATATAATTATATGTAGTTAATTAGTATTTGTTTTAACACTAATACTGTATTCAGCTATAACAAAGAATGTACAGTAGCTGATGATTCCACTTGGGAGTAAATCATTCTATTGTCAGTTCCTAAAATAAAGCCTCATATTGTGCTCAATTTGGGCACACAAATTTACATTCATATTTCTCCTGCACACACAGGTCTAATCATCTAAACACTCTCATTTCCAAACTACACAAAATTTATCACTGGAGTAAGGTAATATTTATATTCTACTAACTAACATCTACACCTCAATTAAATGGTATGGACATCTTGCAATGCAATTATATATATTTATATTTATCTATCTGTCTATATATATATATGCAGATGATAGACAAGTTATGGGAGCCCTTCAAATAACCAACATTGATCTAAATTTAAATTTCACCAATCCAATGCTATTTTTTATAGTGCACTTTTTTCTCACATTTGATAAATTAACGCTCCATTCAAAATCTTAACAAACTGGTGTAAAAGCACTTCTGGCAGGAGTCTTGAGTATACCCATCAAAAAAAAAATATATATACTGTGAATACAGAGTTACACTGATGAATTAACATTCAAATGTTTTAGTTTCTGTATGTCTTATTAATAATGTTTCATAAAACAAAAATAAATATGACACACACATTAATAACTGTATACAAACATACCTACCACCTATTCAGTAGATGATTCTGATAAAGGCTTGAATGAACAACTTACCGTTGTTATACAGTGTGATCAATTTCACTGTTAAAAAAAGTTGAAGATTCAGGTCATAAGCTGATGTATTTGTCATTTTGAGAGTTTTTATAATTTCAGATTTAAATATTTACAGAAATGAATAGTTTATCAAGGCAAAAAGGAAACTTTTTTTTTTCCATTTCCAATACTTAAACATCATATAAGAAATCACCAATTGAGGGATTAGCAAGTTAAAAGATTTTATACTTTATTCAAAACATTTTCATATTGTTAATTGGCAAAAAAGACAAAGAACACTCATCATATTCCAAATAAATCAGACATACACTTCATCAAAAATGAAATACACATTAATAGTAATCAACAGCTTAATTATTTTAGTATTCAAAACCAAACAACAGAAATAAGAACAATCTGGGACATTTCCTCTACATAAATTTTTCTTACCTCACAAGTGTGAAGTTATGACTAATAATAAAATGATAATGAATCATTTTTAAATTGTCAATTTTTTTTTCACATAGTCAACAAGCCACCTCCTCACCTACAATATGATGAGAACAGATGATTATGATGATGAGTTTTTGGCAATGATATGACACATAAGCCAAGACACAGACTACAAATTCAAACAAGAGGTTAATAATCACATATAGCTTCTGTGCTGATTAGTGTAAACTTTCTTTTGAGGTGAGTATCACAATAGATTTTCACCTTTGAGAACAATAAGTGACTGAATAAACAAAGACAAGCAATTCCCATACTCAGCCAACCTGTCTCCTGGGTGAAAACGGTATTTAGCTTGAGGACATCTTGCTCACTGATTGCTCTTTGGATACAAGATTATATAATGTATAAGATAATTACAGACAAAAAAACAGGAACAAGAGTTTTCTTGGCCATCACTATCTTTTAATAGGTAGAAATATTTCATGAACAATTATGTGCAAATAGCTGTTTGGATATTAAACTGCACACAGAAGAAGTCTTGGGAAGTAAGCTAACAGCAAGATAAAAAATAACGGAAGCAACCAAGCTGAAAATAACTCAACTGGTTATAATAAGGGTGGGAAGAATTGACTATAGTACCACTTTGTTATTATGTAAAGCACCATACTCAAGTCTTTTTTTTTTTCAACAGCATATGACAATGTTTGTTGGTGTGAATTTTATACTGAACTCACCTTGCACCATTTAAACATCAAGAGGTATTTGAAGCCAAACAAACAAACATCTGGTGTGTCTTGAAAGACTCCCAAATACAGCCAGCTCAATAAAACAAACACAGAATAAATCTTAGGCAGCTAGAAACAGAAGGTGTGCCTGACTGGTAGAGAAAAGTTGTGTCATTATGACAATAACTCGGCTGTATAAATATTGTGTATGTATGTGTGTATGGTGTGTGTAGAGTAACTGCTTTTCAAGTGTTTCATCCAAACAGCCTTGAAAATACATAGCAACATACCATCAAAACTGCTTAACAAACTTTTTAAGCATGTTCTTTGTCAACAATCATTCATCTGCAGCTACTCTCTCTCTCCAATCTCTTAATAGCTGTCATGCTCGACACATTTTACTTGCCCAATTTGCTAACATGTTCCTCTCTTTTCTCTTCACGAGGAGATCTTGGAGAAATTCGATGTGAGCGTTCTTTTTCCAAAGTTCCTGATCCATTATTTCCTGTTTTACGTTCATTATCTTTAAAGTTGCCTAACTGTTCAGCAGTCTTCGGTTTAGTAAAGTCTTTTTGGACAGGCTCTGGAAAGAAATGTTTTAACTATTAGATAAGTTCTGAAGTAATTTATGGTCACTCACATTTACTACAGTTGCTGTTTTATTTAGCTTTCATATCCTAGTTAGTCAAAAATTAGTTCAAAACTGAGTATGCTTCTTTACATTTTGACAAATGGTCTAAAACATACTTGAGTAAAATGTATCTCATGTTCTGTCTGAAACATTCATATACAGAATTGTTTTGATGTACAGTAGTATGCAAATTCATTAGCACACCTCATGTTTTGGTTTTGATTTATTGTGTCTATGCACAATGTAGTTTAATATATTGGAAAATGATTTCTCAATTTATCCATGACTTTAATACATAAAACATTTAATTAATTTAAAACTTGAAGAGAAAATCAATTCTTTAAAATTTGTTCAAGGTGTCTAATCTAAATATAAAGTGGTGAAACACTGTCACACTTGATTGCCTTTAGTTTCTAATTATCACTAAAACAAATAGGCAAAGCTGGGCTATTAGTGGTATTTGCTAACTGATAAATTGATGGCCCCATTAAGTGATTAGTACAGTGTTCCTTGAACTATGATACATACACAAAAATTGGGCAGCAGGTGCTGCAGCCAGTTGCCTTTCCTCTAGTCAGCAGTTCTAAAAGAAAAGAAAAATATGTTGATTGTGGGTGCTGCTGCCAGCCAATTGCCTTCTCTCTAGTCTTGTTTGTTTGTTTTGAATTTTGCGCAAAGCTACACGAGGGCTATCTGCGCTAGCCGTCCCTAATTTAGCAGTGTAAGACTAGAGGGAAGGCAGCTAGTCATCACCACCCACCGCCAACTCTTGGGCTACTCTTTTTACCAACGAATAGTGGGATTGACCGTCACATTATAACGCCCCCACGGCTGAAAGGGCGAGCATGTTCGGTGTGACGGGGATTCGAACCCGCGACCCTTAGATTGCGAGTCGAGTGCCTTAACCACCTGGCCATGCCGGGCCAACTCTCTCTAGTCAGCAGTTCAAAAGTAGTTGACATTTTCTGCAGCTTTTCCATAACAAAAACAGGGCAAGCAAGTTTGATGGCAATGGGAATTGAAACTGAGGCCTTTAAGTCACAATTTTAATAAGCATATATATATATATGTTTGCCCAAGAGTCAATGAGAGGTTGCAGAAGGAATGCTTTGTGCAAAGTGACAAGCATGCAGAAGGCTCTGCGGTGACTTTGGGTACAATAACTGCCCTATGGAAAGAAGCTTATTGTGCATAGAACGAAAGTTTGGAAGATGAAATGGCTACCACAAAGTCCACACCTTAACACCGCAGAACAAATCTGGGATTTGCTGGATTGCGTACTTGACAAAAGTATGAACTGTAATAAAGAAAGCCTCTGCATACAGCCTCATAAAATTAGAATCAAATTACATTAATGACTTAGATAAAAAAGACAAAGACACAATGCCACAAAGATTGCAAATTGTTAATGATGCCAAAGGTGGCCACACTAAATATTAGCAGTAAAGAAATTTGGAGACATTAGTTGGGTGCTAATTTTGTAATAGTTTCCTATGAGATTAATTGTAATAATTACAAGTTAATTTATATAGCAAATGAATGACTACCTTATGCATTAACCCTATGTGTATGGGTAGGTCTAAATTTGCATGTCATGACCTGTTTACAGTTACATTAAAAATTTAATTAAACAACTTTGTTATCAATGTAGTTAATAATTCAAATTTTAATATTATAAGTTTCTAATTTCTTGATTTCAAAGAAAACCTTCAAATACATCCTCAATCTTCACTTCTTTTTAATTACATGACATTTCTTTTCTCCCAACTGCCCATCTTATATTTTCTTTCTTTCTACCCCTATATGACCTCCACAGTGCTGAAATATAATGTAAATTTATAGCCTCCAATCTACTAATTTTACTAAAGTATAAACCAAAAAGTCAAACCCATATGCCACGCCCTTCCTATCACATCCTGTTTTTCAAATAATGTCAATAATTCTCTTTGACATTTGTTATTGGATTATTTATAACCAACAGAAAGAGAAGATTTTAATTTAATGACTTTCCTTGTTCTGACAAAATATTATGAATTACTTGGCCTCCAATTCCATTACTGCTTTCACTAAGATCACTTTGACCAGATAATGGAATTATTTTAACTTATAGGTTAGTTTGTTTGTTATGAATTTCACTCAAAGCTACATGAGGGCTGCACTAGCAATCCATAATTTAGCAGTGGAGGACTAGAGGGAAGGCAGCTAGTCATCACCACCCACTGACAACTTTTGAGGTACTCTTTTACCAATGAATAGTGGAATTGACCATCACATTATAATACCCCTAAGGCTGAAAGGGCAACCATGTTTGGTGGGACGAGGATTTGAACCCGCAACTCACAGATTGCAAGTCAAGCACCCTAATCACCTGGCCATGCCAGGCCTTATTGGTTAGTTAAAAAGACAGTTAAATTATAATAGTTTCAGGACATGAAACATTTTTTTTGTATGTTAATATTTGGTGCTATAAACTGATATTTGAAATAAATAAAAATTACATAAAGTACAACCAACAACCCTATAAAAAAGTAGGGTTAACTTTTGTCAAGACTTCAAGAGCAAAAAACTTTAAAAAGTACAAGACTACATGTAACTACATTTCTCATTTTTATGTATATGTTTTAGTTACTGTAATAAAAGTAAATAAAATGTAAAAATAAAAAAATTATTAGATTAGATACAATTTAAGTGAAAAGAAAATTAAATGAAAAAAAATACTTGTATTAGCATGCACACATCATGAGTGCAGCATGACTGTAATCTGACTGAGCATGCAAGTCTTTTCCTGTACTATAAGTGCAGTTGTAAAGCAATATATCTATTTAACCAGGAGATTTTAAAGGTATCAGCTTTGGCTGTAATTGTCTGTTACAATGTGCAGTCATTCTAGGAAAAAAAGAAACAAACAGTAATTTAGATATATTTCAATTTTTTTGTTACGTGGTAGTACAAGGTCAGTCAAATAGACTAACCCCACATACAGTGTCAATGTAGACAAAATATAAAGGTTAGTTGGAAAAATTTTGATATTCATTTATTAGGTTCAAGAGATTATGCAAATAAAATATGAAAACTGTAAGTTGAAAAAAAATCTTCTATTCTTAACACAGAAATTACCTTGCACTCAGACTGACTCAGTAAAGACTTTGTAAATTCACAAGAAAAGTTTTAGTAAAAATATTTAATTAAAAAACCTGATTTATTTGTGTATAGAAGACTTAATGTTTACTGAAAATTTTTAAATAAAAAAACGTTTCAGTAAAAATATTTAATTAAAAGCCTGATTTGTACATTAGTGGTGTCAAAAACCCTAAAATTCAACTGACTAAAGTTTTTCTTATACAACTTCAATGCTACTAAAGTTAACAATTTATAAACATATACTCTAAAAGTTGAGATAATTTTCTTTCTCACAAACTAGTTGCTGAATAACTCCCTTTTTAACTTTGACTTTGATTGTGAAATTTCTAAACGTTTAATTTTTACACCAGAACTCTTGCTTGCCTGTGTGCCTTCAATTAAACTAACTATCATAATTTTGTATTTTTTACATGCTACATAATTCTATTGGTTCTCCCAATTGTTAATTTTTCAATGTCATTTTCACTTTACCAAAATCCCAGCTTGTAATATGAAATCATTTGGTCTTGCAGTGGATTTCCCACAGCTACAAGCTTAGAGATTTAGATAATTTCTAAAAGTATTATAGATGGAACTTTTATAAGGTTATATTAAGATTAATACTACCTATTTATATTAGTTTTAATTGTATGTAAAATACATCATTGCACAATTTATTTCAACAAAATTAAATAAGATGCATGCATGAGTGTACTGCATAATTCCTAGGTATACAGCTAATCAATGTCGTTAATTATAAAAAAAATATATATATATATAATTCAAACTGAAAAATGCTAATTGGAATCATAAAGTATATGCTTCATATATAGTTTCTTTTATGGGATATCAACTTTTGTGATTACAAATGCAGACAGCCTGCAGAGTATCGCTATGCTGGGAAGAGTAAAAGCAAGCTAGCACCAAATTACAAACTTAGCTCAGTATTCAACGTTACACTGCAGAAGCAGTAGCAGCAGCAAAAAGAAAACAAACAACCTTTATTTCTAAAAAAAAATAAAAATTCACTATACAATTTAAGTCTAGTAACACGTAAACATAATAAATAAACTTAGTTGCATAAAATTATCTGTGCTAAACTGAGAAAATCTAGCATGACATGTACCATACTGAGTAGGATATAGATCATAGTTTGAACTGTATAAGGCAAGGTACATAGCTACCTGTTTGACAATGGTCGTTATTTCAGCTTCACTAAGCAGCAAGTGTAATATTACTGGCTTTACCTTGTTCATTACCTCATAGGTAAGCTGTGTACTATTTAAATATTTGTTCTAAATCATTCAGGATGTGGGTATAATTTGTTTTATTGGTCAGAATATGTAACATTACCCTTTCCACATTATTCAAAATATGAAGATTATTTCAGAATTATTGGGAAAGATGTATAACACACTTATTCTACTTTCCTTTAAAGGATGCGAGTAAACATGTACATTTCTGGGCAATGGAGTAACACTACTTAGTTCACGTTTTTCATGACATTAGAACTGATAAAGCTTTGCTGTATGTGTTTTACATCTTGCTATTTGTGCTTTACAGGGCAGCAGGCATAACAGTACATGTTCTACATCTCATTACTTGTGCTTTAAATGATATAGCACAGGATGTGTAACAATACCTGTTAAACAACCTGAGCATTACTTGTGCTATCCTAAGCAAAAGTAACAGCATTACCTACAATATACTGGCTAGCAAGGGATTTAACATGGCATGACTTAAAGTATGTTCTACATGGATAAAATTCAAAGAAACTTGTGTAAATATTTAAAATATATTAAAATACTCAACGATCAATGTTGTACAATACACAATTAAAATTTTATTTGAAAAACCGATCAACAGTTGCAAAAAAGGCATATCAAATGTTTCAACATCATCCTCAGGAGTGTGAAAAATAAATGCTGTGACTACCAGTTTACATATTTAAAAAAGGTCATGCCATCTACTTACTTTCAAATTTTCTAACCCTTCATCCTTATTTAAGTTCAAGTTGTTTTTACTGTGCTTCATTATTTCTGTGGTTTCTTTGACATTTCTAGCCATTATATTTTTCGGTTGAGCCAAAATAACAGTGTTCTTTCCCCACTGGATAACATAACCAGTATAACTTGTATGTTCAGCTAGTGCAGAAGTTTTAACATTTCTCTTATGTTCATTTACTCTAAATTTTAAATTTCCTCTAGTTTGACCAATATAAACATCCCCACATTCACATTCAATTTTATAAATACCCGTTTTCTCCATTAGATTGATTCCATCTTTAGTTTTATTTAGTATTTATTTAGTTTATTAAAAAATATGCGAGACTTATAATGTTTACTGAAAAACTGCCAAATTTTGTGAAGATAGACACACTATATCAACAGTTAGTAGTACCAAATCTACAAAGATTTTGAACAAATACAAAGATGTCATGTAGTCGGTTAAATTGACCGAGGCCATGTTGAGATAGTTAATATATTTTACATTCTACAGATAACTGTATCAGTATTACATGTACATATATATATGTAATTTGTTGAATATATATATTTTGAGAGCAGAAGAATTTTTATTAATTGAAATAATATACACAATTACTTTGGGCAGGAGCCTGGTGTTTACTTGAGGCACCATCCACATGACGCTGTTGCCTTGCCGCTGCTTCTTGTCGTTCCTTTTCTTTTATTTCAAGAGCTAATTTTTCTACTGATTCCTTAGCTCGTTGTGCAACTTCAGAGTAAGTTAGTTTTCGTCCCTTTTCTTCAGAAATAATCTATTTTCATTAAAGGACAGAAAAATATTGAGTTTAAAAGGATTTTGATTATTCAGAAGCAACTTAATGATGATATAAAGGACATTCTAAATATTTTTTAAATTCCATAAAAATGATGAATATTAATCTCATTACGCAGACTATTTTACTTACAGATATATTTGAAAAAATTGCAATATAAAACTAGAAACAGAATACCTTCATACATTCTTTGTAAATGACAGAGCTGATGACACATCATTTTGCTGATGAACAGTTATACAAAGAGCCATTAGCCCATTAACATTAAGAGATATACACACAATAATAAAGAAAGGCCCAAATACAGTATTGTAGAATTGACATATAAATTCCTTTCCCTGCTTTCTCTATTTGTATGCTGAAATTGAAAGAAGAATGAAAAACGTTCTCTTTTTACAACTGAAACCTCCTTGAAACCACATTCGTTTATCCTGTTTTGGTAAATATCAGTGTTCAGAAGAAGTACCAACTTGAATTTTTCAATAAAATAGACATGCTCATAAATTTCAGAAAAGCTATATAAATAAATGCTTAATGCATAATTTCTTCTAAACCTATAAACTGGAGCTGGACTCTTAGTGGAATGTGATAAACAATTAATCATTAGACTCATTAAGTGATTACATTCACCTACTCAATTATTCAGTCAGGAAACTAATAATTGGAATAATCAAAAATAGTAATAATCAGACACACTAACTTTGATTAGTTGATTCTTTTCACAAGTCATGACAACAAACAACTATGCTGAGCATCTCTGAAGTAATCTAAAACAGTAATGATTGGAAACACTAATTTCATTTACTTGTTTTTATGAAAATAATCGATGTATCTGTAACTTAGAGTAACTGATCATTTTAAATGACACTGATTCTCATAGTTAATTGCCAACCTCTAGTCATAACATATAATTATTGTACATTCATACATACATATAACACATCCACATATATGTAGTTCATTTCTTCTTAACTCTCAGCACGAGTTTGTGAACACAAATTGTCCTTGATATTTTCCATACTATAACTTCCAATAAGTATCTTCATTAAATTTCAAGCTTTCAGCAATCATTAAATCATTTGTAGACAAAAATTCGGAAATTTTAATGAAGTATTTTCATCAAATATTTCTCTATGAATATATGGAGTCAAAGTGTAGTATGCTCCAAGTGCAAGGTGATTTTCATGTTGAGATTAAAAATATTTTTCTTCATCTGAAAATTCTCAAATTTTATTTGAATAATCTCTTAAACCTCCTAAGTAAATTTCAAATGCTTTTTCTTCAGTAAAACTGTATATTTTATCTTATCAATTTGACCAACCTCATAATCACCTAAGAAAAATAAAATTTAACTAAATCTGAGGTTAACATTTTCTTAAACTGAAAATGTATTTCTCATAGATACTTACACTCATTGGTACAAATCTTTCCTTAGCACTAGACTTGATACTCCCACTTACCTCATGTATATTAACGTCAGATATCTGCATACTAACATGCAAATGATTATGCAGCAACACTCTACCAATAGGTGTAGAACATTACCTCTATCATAACTAGCTCCCTCTTAAAGCTTGTAGCTGTTAACCATTTCAAAATTGGTCAGGTCATACAAATCACACTGAAATTGGGGAGGACGGGTAAGAAATGTTAGAAGAGGTAAGTATCTATCAGAATTACATTTTCAGCTTAAGAAAATGTTAACTTCCAACATGATATCTTACCTTAATGAAGATGAACCCCCTTCAGGAAGCTTCCAAAGGTAAACCACGGGATATGAGAAGGAGCCAAAGACAACACACCCGTGGGAGACCACACCACTTTTGAGCCAGGAGTACTCTTCACCCATTAGTAATGTGTTGCCAAAGGGCAAAAACAAAGGAACGACCCCAAGAAAAGTTACAGAAATAATGGGACCCCTCAGTGTAGAGTGGCTATGGCATGACAGACCGTAAAGAGGAGTTCAATTTCAATCAACATCTGGAATTGTACAACAGTTACGTGGTAGGAAGAGTATCCACTACATTTTACCTCAAGAACAGGTACTGGCAGGAAAGATGAGCTTCCATACCAAGAACCCACCTCCAACACAACCAAAACCAGATCCACCAAAAACCGACATCCGGTGGATGGTAGGAAGGTTGACGGCCCAAGAGGGTGTTCATCTCCAATTCAAAAACTGCCAGCAATGGTAATGTTTTGTCCGGTATGCAGTAGGAGGTGGATATCTGACCTTAAATCTGCAGGAATTCGCGTGTTTCAGTTACAACCAACACCAGATCCACCAGAAACTGACATCCAACAGACTGTAGGAAGAGGGACATTAAAATGGGATGCACCTCCAGTCCAAAGTCAGGTGGCATTGAGAATTTAATACACATTCCATGGTAAGAGGTAGATAGCCATCAAAACAAATGTGAGGACTTATGTGGCTAGTACATCTCCAACCAACACCAGATCCAGGGTGGGAAGGATGGGAGGAATAAAACTATATGGATAAGGCTAATTACTGGAAAACACAAGCAAATTTGGTAAACTGAAACTTGGCAAATAATGCCATCCTACAGCCTGCAACAAAAGAAACCAAAGCCCCCTGCCAAACAGGAACGTTATGTGAGGAAGAGTAAAATGGGAAGGATGATAACCCCTTCAGAGACCAACAGCAGTATGTGTACCATTTACTTTGGTAAACTGCCATGGAGGAAGGATGAACAGGACAGAAAACGAAGGAAGCTACACATTGCAAAAATTGGGCTTTTCTGGTATGGCACGGGACAAAAGCCATGTGTGAAAACAGAGTGTGGGTGTGGACAGATGGTGCATGCCAAAGGTGGGGCTGATGGAGGAGTGTTGGAAATAAAGGAAGATGAAAGGGAGGTGACACCAAAAGACAGAGACCTCTAATGCAGTAGAAGGAGGAGAGGATGAGACACTGCATACATGAGGAGGTAAGAAGCAGCCAGTCACCCATATAATAGTGGAAACAAAGGCCCCTGGAGTGAAGTATGCGGGCAAAAGCCTGGACCATGCAACAGAACACACAGGGAGCTGAGGCAAGTCCAACCGGAAGTGCCAAAACCTGAGAAACACATCCATGATGAACAAAGAGAAGATACTGTCTAGATACAGGGGAAATGGGGATATGAAGATATGCATCTGACACATTGACCTTCGTCATCCACAAACCCAATGAAGAGCTAAGTACGACTGAATGGTGAACTTGGGAACGACTATGAAGAGGTTCAGAGACAATAAATGATTGACTGATCACAAACTTCCATCTTTTTTGGGAACAACAAACAGAGAAGAATAAAATCCCGGATGAGATGAATCTTCTTGTTCAATGGCACCCTTGTGAAGTAAGTCCCGAACATCCTCAGAGAGACGTTGGCCAGAAACAGGATCCCAAGGAGGAGGGAAAGAAAGAAGACTGAGAGACGACGGGAAAGATGAATGGAAATGGAGGACTAGATCTTTGGAAATGACTTTCAGAATCCATAGATTGACTGCAAAGGACCTCCAAACATGGGCAAATTGAAGGAGTCTGGTCCCCACCAGCCCTGACCGTATATATACACAGCAAGCATCAGACACCTGAGAAGTCTGAACACTGACGCTGGATACCCCAAAACTGAAATCTGACAGTATATCTATAAAGAGCATCAGACACTTGAGAGGTCAGAACTAGCAAGAGGCTAGAAGTGGGGGTGTGAGACACTGTAACGGGAATAGGTTGGTAAAATAAACAAGAGGCCAAGGAGGAGAGGGAGGTATGCTGATGGGCTGACTCAACCCTCATCTCCAACGAGTTGGGGATACCCCCAAACACCTCTTGATGCAAAAAAAGATATAGGTGTCATGTACAAGTCATGCAATGAAGTGGAAGATAAACAAACTCTAGAGAAAATGATGTCACAACCTAGAAAATCTCAACAGCAGAATAGCCACATCTGTAATGCCAGGGATGAACAGGAAAAGTATGCCGTGGTAGCAAAAAGAAGACTCCGAGTATCATCTGAAAACCCCAGGGGAACAATGAACAGCCTCAGACAAAAGGTGAAGGGTGGAAAGAGTAAGACAAATACAGGAAAACTGTGGTTAGGAAAAAGTAATAAAAGTATTGAGGTCCGATCCCCACAAAGGGATAAACTATTCTAAATGCCACGAGTCCAAATAAAGGAACAATGATATGCGAAACCATGATCATCCATAGTATGTGGGGGTTGAAGCATACTGACCTCGAACTTAATTGCTCCCTAAAATGACTCGCATGAACCCCAATATCTGGGGGAGGAGGAAACACTAAATAATGGCCTAAAGGTTTGTCTCCAAGAAAGGCAGGGGTGGAACCATATGAAACAGGAGATAAAGACAGAACATTACATAACTGATTCATCAATTCCACCAAATGACATGAGAGGCATAATCAGGAGGAGAAAAAAAAGCTGTCTAAATCCTCTTCTTCCCAATCACTTAAACCCTGAGCAGGTATCATTGGACAATCATTAGTTTGTTCTCATTGATGCATGAAATTGGTCAACTGTCGACAAATCAGAGCCATCACTTCATGGGCTAATAATCGTGGATCCAAACCTGTGGATGTGGTCAGTAATTACACTGCAGCAGAAACAGCAGTTGTGGTCATGACCACCTGAAACTACGAGTGCATAACTCTTGAAATTCAAAGTGAAGAAAAGATAAATACAATAATTCATAAGTTTCCATGAAAGAGAATGAAAATGGTAAATAACAATGTAACTGTAAGTGAAATAGAAAAATTAAGAAAGTAAAAACTTATGGAAAGGTTAACCAAACTGCGAGCAAAAATGTCTATTCAATAAGACTGCCAATCAAGAAGTGGTTAACAGCTGCAAGATTAGAGAGGATACTAGTTATGATTGAGGTAGTATTGCATTCGTATTGGTGGAGGGTTGATGAATAATAATTTGCATGTTAGTATGCAGATATGTTAACATAGGTGAGGGTAAGTGGGAGTAGCAAGGCTAGTGGCGAGTGAAAAGTTTCCCTGATATAAGAAAGTACAAGTCAAGAAAGCTTTTTGTTATTGGAGGTAAGATATTATATTGGAATTTCCCTTTTTCTTTCTAGAATGACTTCAAACTGTAACATAAAACAACATTTATTTATTATAAATAACATTAAACACATAACAGTACATCTGTTTATATTTAAATATTTTTGTTTTATTGCCCTTTGAACCATGTCTAAGTAGTATTCTCCCCACACAAGTTGTAAATCACTTGGCAAACGTGTAGCTCATGTCACCCAATTGACTTACATAATGAACAGGCTAGTTGCTAGTGAGCATACCTCACAAATATTTATCATTATTATTATTATTCTATATTTTACCTAATCTAACTAAAAAGTTTCTAATGTTTACATTTTAGTTAGTTATATAATAATAAAGAACACACATGAAAAACAAGAAATAGATTACTTAACCGTTTTTTTTTTGCTGTTGATTGTCGATGAAACTTAACCCTACCTTTTTTATACTAATGATACTACTGCAATAAATAATTTTTTTATTTATTTAAATAATGCACCAAAGAACTCAAAATAATAACATATAAAAAACAAACAATGTACAATAACTATCACAATTTTTGTGGTTTTCTAACTATACAACAAGAGCCATTAAAAATTCAGCTACACTCTTCGATATGTTTTCTGTGGAAATAAAATTTGAACTGTAAGGGAAATATACAATTCTCTGTATAAAAAAGAAGAAAACATATGTCATTTGGTAGATTAAAACCCTGGCTTTCTATTTGTTATAAAAATATAGTACTATATATCAGAGAGAACTACTGGTGATTTGTGAAAAAAAGGATATAACAGGTGGGTACGGCAAGAGGGGTTTGATTCTATGTAACCAAATAGGATGGAAAGTTATAAAAACTAAGTATTTGCCTGTCCATTGAGAACATTATAATGAGTAATTTATGTTAAATTTCATACTTCTGGGAGGGGTGGGAAATAAATTAGAGAAGCAGGGATACCCTGGGAGCAAATGTCTCAATTATCATACTTGGGTAATTTAAAATTTTTAAAAAATATTACCTTATAAAATTAAGAACTTAAAACTTATATAATATTAAAAAAGTTGGATTAATAGCTAAGTTTTGATGTCAGGTATATTTGTATACCATGATAATAAAGTCCTTTAAATAATTATTGAATGTAACTCACTGAAACCTAGTGACATGCACAGAAAAAGATGCCCATATTGAAAGTGTCAAGTTATATAGTTTTTGAAAAGAAGTTAGTCAACATAGTTACCTTCCCTGTTTGTCAGTGACCTACTAATCTTAATAAAAATAACAGGAAAATTGTGTATGGAGTTTGACTATTGTAACAAAACTATTATCATCAAATTTTGCTTGAATCTGATGAACTTTGAAGCTTAATGCTCATAAGATGCATCCGAAAGACATTATTACAATAACTTGGAACAAATTAATCCAAGAAACTGTATTTTATTTCTTGTAAAACACTGTAAACAAAACTCTGGCAACAACAATACTTTCAAAATCAAACCTGTCCCTTTTTAAAATATGCATACTTTTGGAAAAACAAAATAAACTATGTTGCCAGAACTGGCATGAGGCATTTAAGAGCTAATGGCGCAGAATGTCTATAAACATGGTCTGGTTGTATTTCCCAAGATTTGTTTTACAGGTATGGCTAAAATGGTTCAATTTTAGGGCACCTAGCTTCCCACATCAAAAGTTAGCTTAAAGAACTAAAACCCTCAAATAAAAAAAGTCCAGGTGAACCCCCACCCCCCCAAAGAATTAAAACCCCTTACGAACTATTTGATATACCCACTGAGATGCTTAACAACAACAAGAATTCTAACAGTAAAATCTGTAAAAAGCTCTTGGTTTTAAACTTTTGATTTGATACTGTAGGATTGAGTATGATTTCTTTCCAAAAAAGAAAAACATTTTTTTGAATGCACTTTATTTTCTCAAGATTTTTAAAAGTCAAAATCCCCAAATATACAAGTTAATAATTTCTTAACAAACATACATTCATTGATTAACATTTTACAAAATTCAGTTTATAGTCTTATTTTCACATATTCACACAAAGCTACTCAAGGGTTATTTGCACTAGCCATCCCTAACTTTGAACTGATAGACTAGAGGAATGGCAGCTAGTCAAAAGCGCTCATTGTAGAAGTTGACTGCGACCCATATAATGTACCCACAGTCCTAATGTACACAGTATGATCATTTCTTTTTTGCAGTAACCGGATGCAAACAATAGACTCTAAAACCTATAATACGTGCTAACCACTGACCCATGCTTGGTCCTCAGTGCAGTCATGCTCTCCTGAAGAACTAACAAAATGATGCATTAAGAAAATAAAATATATTAAGTTGTTTTGGGGAGAAAAGTGATTTAATTATTTGTACAATGCTTACAACCTTTCAGTATTTATTAGTTTTGAGTTAAAAGTAAAATTCTATACAAAAACACAACTTAACCTTAACTCGAAAAATAGTTTTTTTTTTCTGTTTTAAAAAAAAAGGTTAAACCTTCCTAAATTATTATGACTTTGATGATCATGTGTCATAATAACTATTACAAAGTTTAAGATTGTTTTTATTGACATCTTTAAAAAGAGTATAACATTTTTTGAACAGAATTGTGTTGATTATATTTTGAGGGCACTTTCCTTGATTCTTCTGATTTGAAGAGGTATAAAAATTTTACAAAATCTTGTATTAATTCCCAAACAAGATATTTGCTATTCTACTTTTACATTCCTATAAAAACTATAGAGTCTTTCTTGTTCAAAGTTATACAATGTTTATGCACTTACAGTAACTTCAATATTTCCATTGACCAGAGAGCTTGTACTTTCCTGCTGTGAGAATCCCAACTGTTTGGACATTGGAACTGACTGATTAGTTATAGGTGGTAGGTTTGTGGTCTTTGTGGGAGCTAAAGAAACAACAGTAGGCAAAGGCGAGGAACATGTAGTTGGAGCTGAGCTAGTAAGGCTACCAGTGAGGTTTGGGGACACTGTATGAACACTGCTCATCACACTCACAGTAACAGTTCTGTTTGTATTAATACTACTATGAATAACAATTGACTGAGGTTTGGTTTCTGTCTCAGCATGAATACTGAGTGCATCTGGAGTTGCCTGCTTTGGCTCAGGGTGTGGAGAACACGCACCTTCAGCTAAACTGTCACGGCTAAGTGGCCTTTCGTTTCTAGGAAACACAGAAATAAACAAGAATTATTAACAATCAACAAAACACTTCACTAAATTTTTCTAAATGTATGCTTAAATGTTAGGTACTACTACATTCACCAGCTGCAAATTACATTAATTTATTTATCACTGATGTATAAAAAATACTTTAATGGTATCAAAATCACTTCCTTTAAGTGAGTAAGTATAAGTACAATTGTGAAACATAATGCCTAATCTAGCTATTCTAGAATTGCCAATATTCATTTTAACAATTCTTATTCAACATGAAATGAAGCTATAACTACCATGACTTTGCTCTAAAGCACTTCTCATAAAGTTCACAGTCTGGCAATCTTTTCCTTTTTTTTTAATTCAATTTTTGCAACATGTACAAAATAAAGAAGGTAACTTCTGTGTACAACTTTCAAATGATTAGATTGAAATGAGGTGTAGTTAGTAATAAATAAACTTAATAGTGTTAAATTGTGTATTATAATTATTGTATAGGGAATGTGATGAATTTGTTATTATATATTTATTTTAATATCAACGTTGTTTATATTAAGTTCAAGTTTAAGAATATACATAGCTTATAGTGTTAAATATGTATTGCAAAACTCCCGCCTATTCTCCAAAGTTGTAGAAGATTCTTCAGAGTAAGAATCAACAATATGTGTGTGTACACTTAAATTTGTATTGTTACGTAATCTGAATTTTCTAGAAAGCCTCCACACGGCTATAAATATAACCAACGTGATGTGCCAAAAATAGAGCATCTATTATTAGTTTGCTACATTCAGTGTGCTATAAACTTTGGAAACTATAACTGTGATTGTTATAATACTTATCAATTGGAAAACTTCAGATATTTGACCAGGAACCTTTACAAAGTTTGAACATTACAAATCATTTAACTTCAGTGGATTCTCATTGGACGTCAGTATTTTACGAAAACATTATATAACTTCATCATTGAAAACTTGGCTTGTGTGGTTGATAAATAACGAAGGACAAAGCTAGCTATCTCCCAGTTAACTGAATTATATCTATGTCAACTCGCTCATCATGAACCCTCGATAAGATATCGAAGAAGTTCCAGACTACACGGAAGACTTTATATTGCTTTTAAGTTTGTGAAACTTTTGTTTATAAATCATTGTTTGTAATAACTGTTGTTGTAAATTATATTGTTGTGTGTATATTAAAATGTATTTGTATTAAAAAAGAAAACTGTGTGTATCAATCTTGTTGGCAAGTATCATAAACTGACTATATATCGGCATTTACTTAACCACTAAATCTAAAGTACAATTTAACTACTGAGTTTAAATTTGTCATTTAACTCAGTTTCAGACCATTTGAAATTCTAATACATAACAGAAGTAACAAATATAACACTCCATTTGGGATATGTTCAAACAGTCCAATATATTGAGATATTAAATATCATATTTCACCATTCTATAACTAATAAAGTTAAGCTGTACTCAACTGTTTCTAAATTTCAAGGTGTAATACATCAATTTAGCACCTCCCTGGTAAACCAGATAAATAAAAATCATAAACATGCACTAATCCTCTTGCTTAGGTAAAAGTTACTGTCTACAACAATTTTTCATAAATCTTATGCCTACTTCATCCTATTTTTGAATTAGCTCCCTTGAGCTAGTATGACTTCAGGAGTTCTATCTTTTGTATATACGATTTAGAATAACAGTTGAAGTAGGTAATCTAAAGTTTGCAGGATACCTCATTAAGACTCTGGTTTGATTTGAATTTGTGGTAATTCATTATTCTTGATTTTGTTTTTGTATTGTGCAGACATATTTTTGGAAGTCTCTTCCTCACCTCAGTAGCTAGGCACAGATATATAATGAACTAGAAGACAACCATTGAGTCAGAAACCTACAGACATAATTTCTATTTAAATAAATAAAGATTTTGTTTATTTGTATGCTTGTGTACATATATTTTCTTTGATGCCCATATTCATTTCTGGAACCTGTATTTTGAGATACTTGTACTATCTTATGGATACCAGTGTAACTGAGTACCATAGAATCACCTTGAACATACACAACTTGGAGTTGGTATATGTTTCACATATGGTGCCCCCCCCCCCAATTTTCTAAATCCTGCACTGTGATCTTTTCCTCTAACGTAACACTAGCAGCCAATGAGGAGGATTACAGAGTAAAGACACTAGAAGATATAAACTTGCATCTTTGTAACTGATTAAATTAGCTTTCAACCTTTTCATGAAACATACTTTCTGCAGGCACTAATATAAAAAAAACAACCACAAAATATCTGAAACATATTAACTGCAAAGAATAATTTAAGTGTGATCTTTTTAGATACATTTCACTATTTCATTTGGAGCAATGCAACACTCTGTTTTAGCTTAAAATAAACTTTTTATTTTTTAATTTCCATATTTATAAATTTAGAGTTCATAATCTTTCTATAAAAACCTTTTACTTGATTCCAGCTCTTTCAAATTCCAAAGTACTTACAACAGTATATGATGGAAGACGGTAAAAATAAAATCAATAATTTCTCTTTGTAAACATTTGTTCAGTAGCCAATTTCTGTTCAAAATTTTGTTTCATTTCAATTTTGAATATTTTTATTAATATACTATAACTAAATTATATAGCGGACTACATTATTTGTCAAATTAATTAGTAAGAAAACTATTAGTCTTGCACCACCTTCTTAGAAGTTATCAATGGAGATTTGATTATTGTAAATTGGGTTTCAAAACTTAGCATACAATTATATTTTTGTAATACTTCTTTTTTAATTTCTTTTTTAAAAGTAACAACTGAATATTGGATTACTTCCATTCGAGTAAAGAATTAATTCACTCAAGATATTAAATTAAAAGCCCAAGTATCATGATAAAAGATTTGGCAAGAATTTCTATTACCGAAATACAATAATATTAATATGTTTTAAATAGTATTAAAAAGCAAGATGACAGAACATCATAGATAAGACTGTTGTTCTTTCAATTTTTTTTCATCTTACACTTCTCAACAAATTCTATCTCAAGTATAATATTATTCTTGTTGAATGAAATAAAAACTCAAAAGATCATGAAACACCATCTCAAGGTTAATAACATAAGATCATTACATGACAGGAGAAGCTGGTGGAGTTAGTATCGCTTGACTTAGATCTCCATTTGCTAAGCTGTGACTATCTTCTATAACAGCAGATGTCTGGTCAATTACTCCCTCTACCTGGATTCTGTTGTCACCACTGGAGAGCTTCGATGTACCTTTAACTACATCTGAAAGTCGACTTTCAAACAAATCAGAATCAGAAACAGCAGAATCCTGAAAGTTTTAAAAACATAAATTTACTAACCAAGTAAAGTCTGTTAAAAACATGTCTGTAATGATGTATACAAAGTATATACACATAACAACTATGATGAACATAAAATGCCATCTATTTGCTGTCAAAAGTTTTCAACTTACCATAAAATAGCCTCAACAAGAATTAACTTTCTTTAGTGTTTCCCTAACTGTTAACATTTTCAGGTTAAGATAGCCATTTACTATTTTTTTTTTTTTTTACAAAATTTGAAGAACACCTGGGAAGTTTATTCAGTATATATCTTCAACTGCAGCATTTATTATTATTTTTTTTATAAGTGTTAAAAAAGTATTCTCCTTACAGTAAATAAACAATAGGAATAGATTTATAAAAACAGTACAGCTTTTAGACATCTCTAATATTAAATGAAAAATGGTGAGCTTATAAATTTTCTCTCAAGTATTAGTTAATTAACTAATTCAGTTACAATTAAATGTCTCACTATAGGCATGGTCAATCTAATCTAAATCCTTACCCCAAATAACTTTTTATAACTTTAACGTTTTTGTTTCTTCAAAAAAAATTTCCAAGCTTTTAGTAAGCATTACAAATGTTTTATAGACAAAAAACCAGAATATTTAATGAAGTACTTTTGATAAAAATTTCTCCATGAATATATGTAGTCAAAGTGTTGACTATTCTAAGTGCAAAATGATTTTCATGTTAAGATTAAAAATACTTTTCTTCATCTGAAAATTATCAAATTTCATTTGCATAATCTCTAAAACCTCCTAAATAAATATCAAACGTTTTTTTTTCTTCAGTGAAACATTATATTTTAGCTCTCTCTACCCTAACTCTACACAGGGTTGACCAAACTGACCAACCTTGTAACCACCATAACCAAATACTGTTTATTTCTAGAATTAAAATTAGACTTTTTTTTATCCTAAACAGCTTAAAACTAGTAACAGGATACATCTGTTTCTACTTAAATTTTAATGTCTTATTGCCTTTTGAACCCTGTCTAACTAATAATCCTGCCACATAAAGTGTAAATTACTTGGCAAATGTGTAGCTCATGTTATCCTATCGAATTATGTAACACGAGTTACTGGCGTACTGCTTGCAAACATACATCATGAAAACTTTTTATTATTATTATTTATCTTACCTAATCTAACGCAATTTTTAAATTTTAATTTCTTTTATGATAATATATATAAAGAATATACATGAAAAACAAAGAATATAATATTTACCTGGGTCGTCTTCTTTTTGCTGTTAACTGATGATGAAACTTAACCCTACTTTTTTTTTTATTAATGGTACTACTACACTAAATATTTTTTTATGTAAATAATGCACCTAAGGACAAAAAATAACAACACATAAAAAAAAAACAGACAATATCCTCTAACTTTCATAATTTTTCTGGCTTTCTAACTAATCTATAAGATCCATTAAAAATTCAGCTAAGTTCGCCAATGTGTTTCCTATGAGAATAAAGTTTGAATTGGTAAGTGAAATAGACAATTCACTGTAAAAAAAAATAATTAAGTATAATATGTCATTTGATATATTAAAACTTTAGCTTTCTATTGGTTATAAATAATGCAGTATTAAATGACAGAGAACTATTGGCAATTTCTGAAAGAGAGGATGTGACAGGTGGGCATGACAAGAAAGGTCTGATTTTCTGTTCTATAGCTCTGTAACTAAATGAGATTGAAAGCTACAAATATTATGTTTTTGCCTGAGCAAAGACAACATCATAATGAGTAATTTATATTAAACTTCATACTTCTCGAAATTGTGGTAAATAAATTAAAAAGGGATTTACTAGAAAGCAAATGTCACAATTCTCATATTAGGGTGAGATTGAGGAATTTTTTACAAATATTTTATTATAAAATTAAGAACTTAAACTTTATATATATTAAAATTTGATGTATTAACTACATTTTTTGCTGAGTTTATTTATGTACCATGATTATACAGTAGTTTAATTAAAGTTTGAATGACATGCACACTTTGACTAGCCTGTAGCAAGAGGGTTAAGAAGCTGAGTTTATACTGTAAACATAAACTTCGATATACATATTAGAAAACATCAAGAAATTAGATTGCTATTTTTTTCTTTGTGAAATGACAGTAACAATAATGAAGAAAGAATAGTTTCAAAATAAAATATGTGAAATTATGAAACAAAAACATGAAAGTTGATTTCCATGGATACATGTCCCCTTCAAACAACAGTATTCAATAAATTCAATTCAGGTTTAAATAAGTATGGTATTCAAAGCTATAGTTATGTTTACTAATAATATCATTGTACAATGCTTTCTACTTTCACAATTTTATAGAAAAGCAGCAGCTAGTGGTGTTGCTTGGTGAATGCAATTTTATGATGTCAGTTCAAAATAGAATGAATGATTTTCTTGACACTCTCTGAATAATGGAATTTATTGGTAAGATAAAACAAGTTAGCTCAGAAGGTATAATAACTAATTACCCATTTCTAAAATTGTAAAATGAGTTAAAAATACTAAATGATTATCAAGAAAGCTTTATGAGTAATTTCAATTCAGAAATTTTCTTATAATATTTTGGCAATGGACCTAAGTAATTGGCATGCGAGATGTTTCTAAAAATTTACAATTATTTACAGTAATAGCAATGTTATGTATTATTTGAAACACCACTGCACAAACAACAGTCTTACTTGTGAGCCTGGGAGAGGGGGGAATGAAGCAGGTTCTAGATCAAACTTAGCTGAATCAGGTTTGATATCTTTACTTTCAGGACCTTTAGAGCCATTACTTCCTCCTCTGGGTTCCTGTTTAAGTACAAAACATACCAGTATATGAGCAAAATAACATATTCTGGTTCCTTCTTGATACTACAACTACAGTAAACAGCAAAATTCTAACAAAATAACTGTGTAGCAAAAACCTAAACTTGAATAGTCCTGTTAATAAAACACTTAAGTTATCCAAACTAGATATGTCAACGACCATAATACCATAACTGTACAATGGGTTCTTTATGATTTAGGGTAACAATCTGCAAATACAGTTACTTTTCCCAGGCCATCTCTGTGGTAACTCAATTTAAGTGTGTCAATTTACAAGTGTAAATAATGGAACCCATAATTAACCTCTTCATGTAGGCTTACACTACAGGACTTTCCAATGTGAAGATCTTCTGTTCTGTGATGATCTTCATAAACATGGAAAGGAATAAATATTATCATTTCAAAGAAACAGATAACTTTACTAAATGTTGATACCATTATATTTGTAAGGAAAAACTATTTTTGTGCAGAATGAATGCAAATAAGGCAAAACATCCAGCCACACATCTAATTCAAAGTGCCAGTTTCTAGCAAAATGCAAATTACAGATGGGAATTCAGTCTAAACCATTTACAGACATCTCCCATTAACTTTTGTACCTTTGGCTCTCTCAAATGGGTCTTTGGAAGTTGATGTACTCTCATGGTTAATGGACTTTTGAAAGCAAGTAAAGATGAAGTGGAAAATATTGACCTGTATATTGGACAAATGCCTTCTGTAGTATAAATGCATTGCAGAGCAACAGAATCATGACACAGACCACCAATGGTGGTAGAAGAAGGGACTAGAAAGCCTAGGCACTCATCCTTGTATAATTACTACAGATCATGAATATCCCTCTGTGTGCTGAATAAATAAAAAAAAAAATATTTTATATAAGCTCACCAGAGATCATGAATATCCCACTATATGCTGAGTAAAAAAAAAAATATATCTCCTGTATGTAAGTTTACTACAGATCATGCACATTTCTGTATGATGATTAAAGAAATTCATCTCCTTATACAAGCTTACCACAGGAAATTCACAAAAAACAATTATATACAAATAAGTCATTCAAACATATAAGCATGAACATCTTGAGAAACCATAAAAGTGGATGAAAGGGTTTACAAAAAGAGCAATTTTGTGGATTGACAATAGACACTGTTTCTTAAAAAAAACATTATGGTAGCATATTAGATAGTATTATTAAATTTCATCAGTAAGACAATGACAAGAAAGAAGTATACACACTTCATACCATAACTTTTAAAATTAATATAAACATTTTGAGTTCTTTTGCATTACTCTGAGAAAGGCAGAATCAGTAAGTAGGAAACTGAGACCTTTTCATCTCCATTTTTTTTTACATTTATTGTATTATTTGACATCTTAATTTTTTGATTAATTTGATATTTCATTTTAGGTTTTATTGTCAAATCTATTTAAAGATAGGACAGCTCCACTTTAACTTTGTGGAGTACTCTAATACTGACTTTAATATTTTTTTATATTATTATTATTAGTTTTTCTTGGAAGAATTTAGAAGACATTGTTTAAAACTCATAAATATTATTCACTTTCTACAACAATGAAAATACAATCATAAAACATGTTTATTTTGTAGAATATTTAAACACTTAAAAATGAGAAATCTGGCTATTTCCATGTTCTGTCAAACAATAACAATAGGGTTAAATTACTTTAAGTCGCCTCTTTTTTTTATGTCTTATATATATGTTACAACTTTGCTATTAAGACAGGTGCACATGTGGTATGAACAAATATATTGCTGTTATTGCAACTATGTATAATTAAAAAAAAGAAAACATATCTACCAACATTAAGGAAGATATATATATTTACCCTAGCATCTAGACATCATGATATAACATTGCATGTGTGGAACAACAGCTACTGACCGTGTTTAGAACAAGGTATAACACTGCCTATGCGGTACAACAGCTTCAGAGGGTGTTTTAGCACAAGGTATAACATTCCATGTGTGGTACAATAACTACAGACTGTGTTTAGCACAAGGTATAACATTGCCTATGTGGTACAACAGCTACTGACTGTGTTCAGTTCATATTTCTAAGAAGTTTTTGACATTACTGTGAAAACTACCAAACAGGAAAAATGTTAAACATTTTATAAATCATACAATTAACTTTTTTAAGATTACGATGCATCATGCTAAACACTACCAAGCTGATCTAATCTTTCATTATATATATATATATATATATTGCAGAACTTGTGTAATTTAGACTAAAGAAGTTAAAAACACAGAACAGAACTGCAACTTACAGATTTTGTGTTCATTTCCTCTTTTCTTTTTCTCCTGGGATGGTTTCTGAAAAGCAAACAAGTAATATTTAATTGTTTTGGGTTTTCAGTTGCTGACTGTTAGCTACAATCAGCCTGAAATTTAATCTATTATGAAGATGGGAAAATTATAAAAATGTATTCCACTGCAGTAAAGTTAACAAAGTAGAAATGTATAAGCACTCAATATGAATCAAAATTAAGTCCCTTTGTTTAACCTCTACACTCTATTAGTAAAAAAGAATATATTTTTAACTAAAAAATTTAATAAAAGGAAAAAAAATAATCTTTTCTCTTAAACTAGAGATTCTGTATTTATACCAAGATGATGCACACACACACACACAATTAAAGAAACTTCATACTTTAACAAATCTATCATTTTGAAAAAAAACACATTTACAGCTATGTTTTCAATCTGTGGTCTATGGATCCCAAGAGGTCTGTGAGTATTTTAAAGGACTTACAATATTAGAGATCAAATATAAAAAAATAGTATGTACTGTTAAGTGAAAATAATGTATTATTTAAAAACTTCATTAATTTTGTTAGTTCTGCTTTTTTACCCTGTAGATTAGCTTAAACAAATAGAACTACCTGAGCATGAGGGTTTATGCGATTGTATTTGATTCATGAAGAAAAAAGCTTGAGAACCACTGGCCTACAACATTACAGAAAGTTGGTTGTAAAAAGCCCTACAGCCATGTAGAACTGGAAGACAATAAGGCAACAGCAATTTCTGACACAACAGGAGCATGGAACAAGTTTTTTTCTGAATGTGGCACCAACTCTACCACGTGTGCCTGACTCCACGGGTATCTCAGCCTGGAGTTGGTCAAGATGCTGCTAAAGATGTTTTGTTTCTACAACCACAGGTCCACTTGAGTAAGGTGAAGCAGGTTTCATTTCACTTCTTTAAACATTTTAGGGAAGTCACTAATTAGACCGAATGGACTTAAGGACGTATGGTTCAATCACTCATAAAACTTGTCTTGAAGGAACAGTTAGTTATTCACTCTGTTAAGCATTTTGATGAGGAGCAACTTGTGAATGAAATGAAGTCTTGACCAAGTTATGCTGACATTTTGATCTGGTGTAGAACCCAGCTATCCATCAGGTAGAATTCAGAGCTCTAGGAAACTCCCTTAGAAAACTTGGAGACATGCAGATGATTTGTGTTGCTTACATGGGCAATTTAATCAATTACCTACTAAGAGCAATTACATTGAGTAATGTCATGTAAAGTAACCGAATAGTCAAAATTAGTGTTTCAGATTATTATCCAACAACCAACTGACTGAAATTCTAATTATATTGGTTGTCCTGTAAATAATCAAAATTAATGTTTCCAGTTATTCCAACTATTCAAGTAATCAAAATTCTACCACCAAATTTTCTTGTCACGTCTTTGTTATGGCAAATCTACTAAGGCTACCTGCCACTGTCACTAATTTTGAATTGCTGACTACAGGGAAGGCAACTAATTGGTAGCATCCATCATACTTTTTTATTTTGCTTGTAGGTACCACAGTTTGAGGAACTCTGTACTAATTGATTAATATGGCCATCAATTAATATATTATGAAATACCACTAGCTCTACTATCATGTCCTCTTGGCTTATTAGCCTAACTAGCATGACTATCTGTCATGATATAAAAGACTATTTCGTTCAGATAGTATTGATTAATTTAGTTTTGAGAGTGAATATTCTATTATTGTTTAGTTTTTGTTATAATAAGAGTTAAAAGCAGATGATTGTAGGAAGTTTTGTTAATAATTCTTTGATGTTGAGAATAAAGAAAGTGGACAAATGATTAGGAAATAAAGATATAAATAGCGTGAGATGAGCAAGAAGCAGCAGATGGATAATAACGAAAGAGAACAAAGTTGGTGTGAAGTTATAGGCCTAATGTTTAATATGTTAGAGTGAAACTAACAGTAGAAATGAAAAATAATTTTATTCCATCAAAGCGTGGTTCTAAAGTAATTGAATCAACCTGAGTGCATTTTGACAAAATAAGCAGAGGATCTTCAAAAGAAAGATGACCAAACGATTACGGTAACTTGTGCCACAAAGAGATTACTAGTGTGATAGAATTAGAGAAGATAGTTTGGCTTGTCAACTGAAATTCTAAAGTAATTGAATAGGCCTAAGTAGATATTTGACAAGGAGAGAACTACATATATAGTATTTATGATATGTCCATATTATCTATAGTGTTGAAGAAGTTATTGTACATAACGTTAACTTGTTTTGAATATATATATTACTTTGAAAACAAGTGAAGTGCATTCTGTATATTCATCGTTGAACTTATTGCTAACAAGTCACAGACACCTACTGTAGAAGAATCCTAAGCTCAACAACAACATAGTATATATTTATACTATTAAGAAATATAACTAAATGCCTTTCTATTTGACAATTGGCAAAAAGAGAAGTTTTATATATATAACACTTATATTTTCATATTCTGACACTATCTTTTCCTATTAATCTCCCCAAGAAAACTATTTTGTCTAGTGGCCTGACAAAGGGATCATAAAGTTCTAAAACTGTTAAAATATAAATGTGTACATAAACAGGATATGACTCAATATTTTATCATTCGATAAAGGATGCACTCAAAATAAAACAAAATATGTTTGTTTATAAATTTTTATTTTAATCCACTTGTTGCACACTTTACAGGACTCAATATTTTTTAGAAAAGTCACTCGTCCTGCACAAATGTCACTTGTCCAACAAGGAGTTTCAAACAATATCCTTTCCCAAGGTCATATTAAACTTAATAAAACTTTAGACGCTGACATTAATCTCGGTGGCAGTTTCCAAATATTTTAAACTCATCCAAACTGAGAATTTTTTGCTAGTAGGATCCCAACAATTGCTCAAAGTGAATGGCCTATTTAAAATATTGGCCCTTTGTCCTATACACCAACCAATCATCCTTGTCACTTCCCATGATGTACATGCAAATATGACATAAATCATGCACAGAAAAACCAATAACTAATTGACATTTTGACCTCTTGTTTCAAATAAGGTTACATAAAACACAAGAGGAGGACATGTTGCATATTCACAGGTTTAAGGAGCTGTGAGGAAACAAGTGTACATGCCCTCAGCTATCGATGAAGCTCGGATACAAAACTAAGGAAAATACTTTGTAATTACAGATAAACTAATTATTAATTTTATAAAATATCAGTTAATTTGTAGACAAAATTACAATATTCAGCAACATGGATCTTAAAACAGAATCATGGCCCTAATTCCTGCACCATTCATTATACTTGGTGACAGTATCAGGGGCCACGATGCAGAAATACACATGCTGGTGTTTAATGAAGTCTGCCTGTTTATTTTTAGTGCAGCAATTACTCCACTTTTACATGTGAGTTAACTTTAACCAGCTGAAATACTGCACCAGTCCTGCAGAAAGAGTACATGGAAAAAGTCAATTTGCCTTTATTAATTTTTGATGCCTGCTTAAATTACCCTTTTCTCATCCTTGTATGTTGCCAACTTACTAATATCAGGTATGTAAATGAACACAATAACATACCTTTGTTGCTTTGCTAATGAATCTCTTCCTTGGAGATCGATTGAAGACTTAGTTTGGTTTGTTAGTTTAGGATCTACGGATTCTTTGGTTCCACTTGAAGACCTATTTGACATTTTTGCACCATAATTTGAAGAGGGAGGATTCAAATTCCCCGATCCTTGCTTGTTATGGTGTGAGTACCGCTTAGAATAGGAAAAGAAGTCTTGCATATCCATTCCTAGACCATAAGGGTTGCCATAAGGATATGGAAGGTAGCCAAATCCACTGATCCCACGATTCAGCATTGGAGCAGCTCCATGTGGAGGACTTGGCACAAATGGCATGGCTTCCTTCTGTTCTAAACCTAATGTGTTGTGTTTGTGTTGGTTCCGATATATCTGAGGTTTGTGACTCCTAAAAGAAAAACATTTGTTAAGCACTTAAAAAACTATCAAGAAAACATAAAAATAAGTTAAAAATGTTATCTTTCTTTTGATAACTTGTTTTCTATTACCAACAATATGCTGACTGGTGGTCCCATTTGCATATTTTATGAAAAAAAAACTAGAAAAAACGTTTGTGGCATTTTTGTTAAAAAAGATAGCTGAACATTTCCTAACTGGCAAATAATTAATGTATAGTTAATACAGAGACAATCACATAGTTACCATTTTGTTTTTATTTTTTCAACTATGCAGAAATCATCCATTGATCTTGTAAAAATTAAATTATGAAAACATATTTTAATATCAATGATAACAGTAAAGTTTTTATTTAATACATATCATAATACTTAACCAGCTAGTTATTCAATTTACTTATCTAAATTTGAATATAATAAACATAAAAATAACATTCAATAAGGATTTGAGTCATCAAAATATTTTGCCATCACCTACCACATTAACCAAACCTAACTAAGTTTACCTAATGTCTTCTCATCAGATAAAATTTCTGTACTTTTCTAACAATATGCAACACTTTCACAAATAAAAAGAATATGTAAAGAAACTATAAAAGAAAAATTGTAGTTTGTTTGCAAGTCTTCAAAACTTCCCGTTGGATGCTAAAGGAGCTCAAGCTAGCACTTTCCCCATGAACCAGAAACTATATTTCTCTACTATGATGTGAAAAGTTTATTTCATGCTCTATCAAATTATATTCAAACTTTCTTTATACCTATTTCCAATGATCAAACCACTTAATGTGACATCAAATAGGATGACAACCAAGGCTAGTACAAAAACTAAGCTGAAAGACAAAAAAATTCATGAAAATCAAGAAGTGGATGATATATTCACAAGAGATGACAGTTTTTTAGCAAATTTAAGGCCTTTCTTTTCAATGTTTAGAAAAAAAAATACACAAGTGCATCTTTTACAGGCAAGACTCCTCGAAGCTGCAGAGAAATAAAAACTTGAACATTTTTTAAATTTTTGTTTGTGAATCACAATAAATAAATGTTACAACATATCTATCATAAAATATTTTTGAATTAAAAATTGTTTAAATAGAATTAGAATTATTATTTTTAGTTAAAGTTTAAAACTTGACATGCAGATGTTTTCTCAACACCTTAAATGTGCACACAGGTCCAGAAAGGGTTAAAGAAAAATGTGCAACTTGAAGGTGCTCTGCCTGCATTGTAGGCCCATACTTTAAGGCATATAAATTGATATCAAGTTTATTTGCAATAATTAGTTTAGTTTTTAATTCAAGTTTGTCAATATGGGTCACAAATGTAAAACTTATGTCCTAACTCAACTCCTTTAAAAAGTTCAAAACTGACTTTTGGGATGATAAATACAAATAACTATCTATAAATAAAATTTGCTGAAATATATTTAATTACAGCAATGTATAAATAAGAACTCCCATAAGTCTTAAAGCATAAAAATTCACCAACATATAAAATTATTTTACATATTTTGTGACTAAAAAACTCAAAGTGTCAGTAGAAAAAACAACAAAAAACATTTGGCAAAAGCAATGTGAACAAATATGAAAAGCCAATAGTTTATGTACCTTCCTGGAGAAACATGTAACCCATGACGCCCATTTCCATTCAGAGACTTGAAAACTGCTTGTGGAGGTAACCCATTCATCAAGAATATCTAGAAGACACATTAATCAAAAACATAATCATAAGAGACTGAAGTAATCCTTAAAAATAGTCTCTTTTATGTTTGATATGGCTGTAGAATATTTACTTCAATAATTCAATTTTAAATTATCACCTGACTGCCTTTATCAAACAGGAAGAATTTGACTAAGATCAAAACTTATCTCAATCTGTAAGTTTTAACTGTTGTCTCTTCTACAATTATTGAAAGTTAAAGAGACAAATACCCAAAACAACAAATACTTATCTGTTATAAAGCATATTAATCTTTCAGATCTAAACAAAATGAAATATTACAAAGCTATAGTCCTTGAGCATTTGTCCAGATAAACATTCAGATACAAAATTCCAACAATTAGAAAAATTAACTTAGTAATTTCCATAAAACTATTCCTACTTACTGTTCCAAATTCAAATGTCGATGGGGTTGCAGGAGCACAAGCTTGAAGCATTGTAGGTGGATAAAATGGAGGGAAGACCTAATGATAAATTAATTATTTTACAGCTTGTAAAATCCCCAATTGTCATATTTACTCATTTTACAACAGAACTTATTATCCAGTACATATACTTAAAGCCAAGCCTACAAGTGTGCAGTTACTTATATGACATAGGAAGAGAACTTGTTCACACGTACAAATGAACAAAGCTTAAGCCTAGCATAAAAATAAAAACCTAATCTTTGGGCTTTGAAATGTTATTTCTATACAATATATAACTCTTCAAAATTATTATTTTACTTAAGATTTATTCAATCTATGTTTACAAAGATTTTCAGGTATATCTTCATTTATCCTAGTGCTACCAATACTTAACAAGGCTTTATATAGACTGTTTTAACATAAATCTTCAGATAACCTACTGTTAATAGGATCTTCAGCCACAACTTTATGGAGACCATGGTTAACAACATTGTTCAGATAGAGTTTTCTATTAATTAAGATATTCAGTTAGCCTACTATTAACTAAACCTTTCCAGCAGAGCTTCACTCACTTACACTCACTCTATTGTTTGTAAGATATCCTGTCAATTCTTTAAGAAGTTTTAAGATATAAATACATTTATATTTTCATAAAAACAAAATGTTTACATCTTACTTTCATCCCATTATGTTACAATTTTTGTAATTTATAAAAAATACATTTTTTGAGAACACTTTTATATGTCCATTTACCTATTTTAAATTCTACCAACATTAAAGTGCAGAAGAAAACTGATCATGAGTTCATATTTTTAAGAATTCAAAATTAATAGTTACTGTTTCATTTTACATTATTTTTAACATAAAAGTTTTAAAATTGCTTTTGGATCAAATCCTAAAGATAATAGACTAACTTGTTGGTTGCCATAAGGAACTGAAGGTTCATTGGTATATGGTAACCCTTGTTGTGTTTGTTCTGTCCACTGCTGTTGCTGCTGAATAGGCGTGGCAGGCTCTTGCTGCCCACTAACAGAAGGAATTATAGGGCTTTGGTACCTCAAGCCATTCTTATAATGTGGGATAAGTGGTGCTCTTGTGATTGGTTTGGCCTTGATTCTTGCCTACAAGATTAGAGAGAGCCTTTTTCACTTGTAATTTTGTTAATAAATTTAAAATAGAGTTAAGTCTTTCTTAGGAGACGCTGTCTACTGAAGGAAAGAACAATGCAGTCTCTATTAACCTGTAGTTCCATCAAAACACAAAATAACTTGTGATTAAGTAATTTATTTCCAGCAAATTGCTTATTCCTATGAATACTACCACAAAATGATTATTTCATAAAAGCTTCAAAAGATAAATGTCTGAAGCTAACTGGATACACTGCTTATTTTCTTTTTAGTAATAATCTTAAAATTAAAACATATCAAATTAATAACACTTAAAGAAAGATTGTGGTAATCAGATATCAAATAATGTCATGGTTAGTAGCCTATACAATCATTTAAATCTAATTATTAATTAGTTACTTCAGAACAGCTGTTCTAAGTCCCAGGAAGTGATAGTGAAAAACCATGCACATTTCTCATTCATAATCACAAAGAGAACACTAGCCTCCTTATCAGTTATACAGGCTTATTAATAAAAGAAACTGTTAAACACCAAATATAGACATACTTTTAATCACAATTCCAGCTCCTATCAATTAAATCTTTAAACCCAGGCCTGGCTCTTCTATAAATGTCACTTTTTTTCAGTTTCACAAACTTACACTCAAATTTTTCTATTTATCTTAGGTTTTAATTTCTTCATTTCAAAGGAAAATATTTAAATAAGTCCCCAATCTTCATTTCTGTGCATCATGTAATGCATCTGCATTCTAAGTTTTGTTTTAGTTTGTACAGCTAAAGTATTATATCAATTATACTGCCTGACTTGACCTAGATGTAATCTACAATAAATTCCAAGGTCCAGTGTACAGCTTCACCATCTCCCTATTGTGGGATATCAATAAATTTTCACAACCTGCAACAGAAGCCCTGACCACATATCCTTAGCTTTTAAGACAGTTTTCAAAACCATATGCTTTTATTTGTCCTATGTGCAGTAGCTCCACTTAAACACTTGCACTCAAAATAACTTCATTCTTAGATGAAGCAAGAAGAAAATACAATGGTCAGGTCAGGTGGAAATGTATGCAGAGGTATCTATCAGAAATAACATTTTCCTAATATGAAAATGTAACACCTTAAACCATACCTCACCTCTGCACAGAATAGCTAGAATTGCATGTTGAATTGGTGGAGGGGCATATGTAAAATTAAACATAAATGAACCCCTTTCACAATGCACCTAAAGGGAAAGGCCATAGAGTGTGATATCCAATGGCAGGAGCTTTAAAGGGGCAGACCTGTAGGAGACAACATTTCGTCTCGACCAGGGTATATTCTTTGCCTTGAATGTAAAGGGGGGGAATAGGCAAGTAAGCCAAGTGTTGCAGGGATGGGCAGAATGAGAACATGACCAATGGAGCACTTAAACACAAGCTATAAGTGAAACAATAGGTGTAGTGTGGTTAGGACACAATCAGACCTTATATGGTGTGCCCACCTCAACCGGACAGACTCAGTCTGCAGGAGGAGGATACACTAGTTGTTTGAGGGGTGACTTGCACTATACCGACAGTGTCACCACCACCCTACTTCTCACCATATTATGTTGAGCTCAATCAATGAGGAACACTCTAAGTTACACCACCCCAGCAGTTAAGCAACCAGTAAGTGGCAAGGATCAGCCACACACCACTTGAAGAAGGGGGGGGGGGAGAATTCACATTGGGGACACCCATAGAAGTGCTTGGATCCCTAATGGATGCCTTACAGAAAGGTCTTTTATTGGAGACAGTGCAATGATGACCAAAAAAACCCTATATTTCAAGTCAGCAACCACATGCCAAAGAAGGTAGCAGTCAATTTCCTAGTGCTGGTTTTTTCAAAGATGGTCCATGGAATGGTATAGTCTGGATTGGGCAATTGAGTAATTTTGTATATCATGAGGATATTTCTAGTGGTCTTGCAGAAAACCCCATCTTGACAACAAGCACTGGTAGAGCCAAGGCAGATGGGCTGAGTGCTTTCTGTTACCCCTGGCCAAATGCAGATTTTAGAAAATAAGAATACCTTAGGAGGTAACACAAGCCACCTGACAGGTCTTGTTAGATAGGAAAGGGGAGAAAAATAAAATATATTTACTCATCTCAAAGATGGTAGATTGACTGAAGAATGGCAACTTAGAGGAGTTGAAATCCTGCAGAAGACCAGCTAGATAATGAAGATAATGCATGGGGCATCAGCCATTTGCCTGCCTGGAAGATCTTGTTCAAAGGCCAGCAAAAATGAAAAGCAAGAGAGTGAGAATGGAGCAAAGCAGATGTGACAAAATGTGAAAATTCCTGTGAATATCAACATCCAAAGAGGAAAACATCAACTGGAGGGCTGGCAGACCCATCTGGTAAGGGTCTAAAGTGAGAGTTCTCTAGATTAAGCGGGGTCCCAGGGTAGAAGCAGATGATCTTTGAGACTCCTAAGTGGGGAAGTTTATGCTAAATAACACTGAACAGCCTAAATTGGACATAGGAGAGAAAGAACAGTCACTCTCTCAAGAGGCTGAAGGATGAGGAAGAAGAAACAGTCTAGGTAGAGAAGTAAGGAAGTGCAGTGGACAGAAAGCAAGAAACATCAATGGTAAAGATATCTGAATGATGGCAACCAAAGGCAAGGAAGGAAGTAAATTATAGGAGAAAGGTGGTAGAAAGAGTAAGAATCCAGTGGTTCAAACAGGGTACGAGTGAAAATGTGTAACAACAGACTAAGGTTCCAGTTTGGCATAGGAGCCACACAGAAGATGGGGGGGAGTTCAATGAAGAAGGAAAAATTGGAACAGAAAGGTGAAGAAAACACCCGTAGTAATTGAAAAAGTAAAATGTATTGGATAAGGCTGCTTGTTAATCAACAATGATGGAGCCTGACAAGACATGGTTGTTCCATCTAGCGAAAAGACAGAAAGGCGGGTCACAGTAGGATGGCCAGAAGGAAAGAAACAGAGGATGGACCAACGATGAAAGACCCACAACTTACACTGTAAACAATACAACGTGGAAGACTGACAAGAAGGGTATATGACCGAATTATCCAGCTCTAAGGGTGAAGACCAGAGAAATTACGCATGTAGAGATGAAGGGATGATACACTTGGATGAAAAATGGATGTGTGAGGTGGAAGCAATAGAGGGGACATTGAATAAAAGAAGGGAAAGTCTTGATGGCTATTAAAGAAATAGTGGAAACTAGGTCCAAGATAGACAAAAGTGCACCACCAATAGGACCTGAGAAGGAGTGTTGTGTATCAAGGCAAGGGCCCGAGGAAGAAGTTAAAGAAGAGGATAGGCATACAGCAGAAGGTGAGACCAATCCTGGCTGAGAGCATCAACAGACAGAGCCAAAGGATGAGGAACTGAGTACCAGAAGAGAGAAAGCTTGGAGTTTAGAGGAGAAGCAAAGACATCCATGAGAAGTGTGTCAAACTGAGAGTAAAAACCAATGAAAAATCTGGAGGTAGAGTAATCACACCATGAGCAGAATGCAGTCTACCCACAAGAGGTGATCCACCACCAGAAACATAGGCCCAAGCACATGACAAGCAAAAAATATGAACTCATCAGGAAAGAGCCCAGAAGAGAAGGTCCAATGCCCAAAAGCAAAGAGTGCTGGAGTGGGTATCACTTTGACCAGTGATATAAGAAATGTATGGTAGAACTTTCGGAGTGGATCATGATCAACTGATCTACCAGATGAGGTAGGAAATGGAAACTTGCCTGAGGAACAGTGTGAAGTTTGAGCACATTGATGTAAAGTGAACCCTTTTTCTGTGCCCAGAAGACACGGTGTTGTTCAGATGCATCCCAACCAAAAAGGGAAGCAACTGTGAAGATATTGATATATGGTGCAGGGTGGTGGTGGAAGTTAACTTCAATCATGGTATTGGCACAGTCTAACCACAAAGACAAGCCCTTGAAATGAGGAGAAGGAAGGTTCACAATAAAAGACAATGGTTCCCAAGGAAGATTCCACTGGTCTTACGATGTGCACTGGAAGAGAAACGTGGAATGAGTGGTTCCTGAGAAGCCAGTCTTCAAAAGTGAATGCACAAATAAAAGCCAATCAACATGTAGAAATAGAAATATAGCCTCATTCCATAAAGGTGGCTAGCAAAAACCTTAATGACTCGACTGAGGACAAAAGGGATAAACACAATGACGAAGGGAAGAGCACATAATTGGAAGACTCGATTCCAATGGACGAAGTGTAAAAACACCAAGAGAACAGGGTAATCGATA